TAGCTCCCTGCGCAGGACAAGCAGGACCATTTGCGCCACAACCTTTCATTCCAGGTGGTCAACTTCCAGGCAGGGCGGGTCAAACCCTGACTTATGCATGTTTGTAGATGAGGGTTTGGAGGTTCTGGAGGTAGTGCAAAAGTCAGGAGAGATTGAAGGATGTGCTTTTGCGGGTATCTCATCAGCCTCTACTGTGGGGCACGAATGTAGCTTCATACGAATCTTGCGAAGCGCATGAATTCATCAGCATTTGCAGGTGCCATGGCCCCTGGGTATGGTGCATCGGCCATGGACCTAGATTGACATGCTGCATGGTCATGCATGACAACAAGATCATTTCGTCTCCTTGCTTGAGCTGGGTTTGACTGAGCCGGTTGAGTGCTGCAAGTGAGGATGTTTTTGACTGATTGCAGCTTGCAATGCTCATGTGATACTTTGCACTGTTTGTTCAAGCACGAGATGGATGCAGAATCAGGCAATGCCCTTTCGATAGAAAAAGAAACGAAACCGATACTAACCCCTTCAGTTTGTGCTCCACCATCGCATCCCCCTCGAGCCTCCAAAGCAACTGATAGCGATGGCCTCCAACCCACTGGGGATGGCCTCCAACTAGACACAAAAAGGGCTTTGGTTTGATTCCTTGTCCCACAGGCCAGCAGCGGTCCCAAAGGCCACCCCGTGCCTGTTGGCTGTCACATCCGAGCGAGATGAAAGACCACGTGAAATCGAAGAAAGCATTTGTTGGCCCTGGGGTGTAGTTGAGGCGGCCAGGATATAGGAAGCTTTTGAAGGACTTTTTGGCATGTGAGTGAAACGCCTTGCAAGCTTCCTCCAATCCACATGTGCAAATGCGTCATTGCCGATCCCAGTAGGTCAAACCCAGAGGTAGTCTCTTTCTTTGTCTCACGGGCAGTTTTTTTGGTTTGCAGCAACGAGGGAAGACTCATAGCAAACCTTTTTGGTGACGCCGGAGCACGTTCCAAGCAGTTTGGCCTTTCGGCTGATTTGGTAAGATCGCTGCCAAGCAGTGTTGCTTGATGTCCCTTCGTTTTGGTGGCAGGACTTATCGAGCGGGTGGGCAAAGGAGAGACCTTGCCAGGGAAGGAGGCCAAGAATTTGATATGCATCTCATGTTCAATTGATGGTTTATGGTCGGGATTGTTCCACTTGTCCTGATAACAAGGTGGCAATCCAAGTCACAGTCTTTCCGAGTTTAAACATTTTCCGCGAACAAATCATCCACAGCTTGCTCTATTCCATACGACATTACACCTAGTGGCCAGAGCATAATCTTGGGGAAGCGACTCAAAGCTTCTCCAGGTCGCTGCACGACTTGCCGGCCAATGCGTCTCCTCCAAGGCCAAACACTCGGTCAATATCGGTCAATCCGTTCATCACTTGGTCATGAACAAGTAAGGAGCACCCTGTCTCAAACAATCATGGAAGCTGAGCAGAGCCAACCTCCAGACAGTTGTTTTGCATGAGCCAATGTTCTACTTCCATGAATTTCCATGTTGGTCTCAAAAAAGATGGATGTATTTATGTTTGATCATTTTTTAACACCGGCGCGGTGGCAACGAACGACTCTCGTCTTGTTTCACACGAGTTCGGTGCCTCCGCCAGCTGTCAATAGCACCGAGCAATTGAGAGGTGTCTGGATCCCAACTGGGAGATTTCGTGGCAGACCGTGTCGGGAACTAAGATTTGCTGCGACCGAGTGCCAAGTGAGGACCTAGCACTTGTGGAGTTTTGGCGTGTGAAAGAAGTGGGGTTGGTGAAATGGCTGGGGCCTATCCTACCCGTTTGAATGGCACTTCGCTGCATATTCCGAGCTTTGCCCCGGTCTTGACAGATACCAAGGACTGCACCTATCCCAAAATACAGTAAGACTCCTGTTGAGGTTGTCGAGGTGTCAGAGAAAGACCAATTCACATCTATGCTGCATGGCTTTCATTTGCACGCAACGCGAGGGGGCAGCAGTCTCTCCTTTCAGGTGCGAAGGCTCTATTTGGGCCTCGACGGTGATGGAGACGATGGCCTGATGCGAATGCTGCAGTACCTTTGGCAGAACTTCGTAAGAACAGCATAGCCCACACAGTTATATTCATCTCTGGGACCTCCAGGGAAACGTGAACTGTTTGCCAAAAGTCCTCTCCATGCTATTTGGAATATTGCTCACCGTTGTGGTCCAAGAAAACATAACCTTGTCGCGTGCTCAGAATCTGTACCGGAACTACATGCCAATTTGGGCAAAGCCCACAGCAAGCTGTTCTGAGGCTGGTTGATTCGATGAAGATGCAGCTCGGCCTGAAATTTTGCTGGGGGGGTCGAAAAGAACAGGCTGACAAGCAGTTCAGCAGCCTATGCCAAGCAATGAAGGAAGGGAAGTTTCTTTGTTGTTGAGCCTATTCCAAAGGGTCCCTCCGTCCAGTGCCACACTAATAGCTTTGGTAAAGGCACAAAGCACATCAATGTTTTAACCTTCGTTTTGATGACTGCACGAGTCTCATTTTTTATGCACCTGACTGAGCAAGAGCGCTCAAGCGGCCTAAAGCAAAAGCCATTTCCCTACAGCTCAGGCACGAAAGCCCCATCATGCAAGAGGCAGTCAAGAAACTACTGAAGGCTCGGGGAAAGTCGTTGCTATGATGGCCCGTACCTTCATTTGGTCACTGCTTGCTTCCCCTAAGCAGAACAGTAATAGATCAAAAGAATCACTAGCAGCACTAGCATGCATGGAAAATGATATACAGTACCATTAGAGCTCTCGCTAACACAATCAAGACGTTCACACATTTTCAGGTTAGAGCCACGGGTGGAACGTCGGGTCATGACTACTATTGCGGATCCTGCCCGTTTTGGCCAGGAAGGCGTCAGCGAAGAGTTCTTATCACTGAAGTCATCGTCAAAGCACAAGGAGCCAGAAAGTCACTAACACCACACAGTGAATTGAAAAATTGGCCGGGGCAGAGACTCCTCGATGTTCCAAATGAAGAGGCAGCACTCAAAGACTTAAAGATGCCAAAGCAATCCACTACCCAGTGTCATGGCTCCAGGACAATGCGGTGCCCAGTCTGCGGAGGCTAGGTTTGCTGGGTGCCGAATCACTGCCAGACCTTTTGGGTGAGGCCGGGTGCGTGTGTGTTTCTGCTAATCGCTGGCTTTGATGGCAGTGTGTCAATCTGAGTAACTTTCAACTCATGAAACCTGGTTGTGGTTGCGTCACCTCAGACTGATAGAGCTTGTGCGTAGAACCTCAACCTTTTTCTCCATTCTCCGCTCAAATTCAAGGAGCCAGGAGCGTCGTCAAATGCAGCCAGCGTGCCTCACTAAGTCTGAGATGTGTCCACAAAGCCTTCGTGCCGGGCATGGAGAGCCACAGGTTGCATCGTTCAGGTTACACTCACCAATCCCTAAGCGTGATTCCACAAAGATGTTGCCTCTTTTGCCCCGAGCTGCGCACGGAACTGAGGTGGATCTTCTGGGTCTCTTGGTGAAAAAAGTCAGCATCACTTTGGATGTTCCGGGAAGGGGCGTTATCCATCAACCCTTGCCTGACTTGCTTTTGTCAAGTTGCTTTTGACCTCAAGATGTCTAAGCATAAGAGCCACAATGAAGACCTGGGCATTAACGGAAGCGTGTCAAGAACATCTTGCAGTATCAATGAAAAGCCTTGTTATATATGTTGCAGCGCGCGTACTTGCATGTTTCAAAACAAAGAACAAAGGGGAAACATGTAAGTAGGCTTTCAGCTTCCCATTCTTCCTTCCACCAAGGGGATGCAGCTCCAGCAGCTCCAGCTCAAAAGACAACAGACCTCTTGGATTTCTGAGCCAACAAAGACAGCAGAAGTAGATGGCCTAGTAGATGACTTGGTTGTCCGAAACGGACAAATCTGAGCCCCAAGGGCCCTTTCGGCACCTGCCATGCAGATGATTGGTGGGAATGAATACCATACCAATGGTTCAGTGAAGACTTGGCTGTGAAAGAAGCTTTCTTGTTCGTCAGGAGTCAGAAGAAAGTTTCCATTCAACTGTTGCGCTTGTGGTCATAACTATGAAGCGGCCCAACCTGGCGTTCTGCAGAGCAGGTGGGCCTGAACTGGACGTTTTATTAAGCTGGGCCTCAAAATCACATCTACCACATGCTTGGAGCAAGTCACAGCACATCAATCCTGTTATTTAGATTTTCCATGCAAGTTGGGCACCTTGCTTTACATTCTTGAGACTTGGCTAGCCAAAGATCAGGTTGGCATTGCTGTGCGAATGGTGTGGACGTACGCCCCATCCCCATCGGTGAGTGTCCCTAAATGTTGATACCTGATATTCCGTTGAAAAGCATGACCAGAAAAATCATAACAAGCCTTGCTTACTCTTGGAGTCACCACCTTTCTCCTCAGCCGGCATGCCATGCTTCCTCAGTGCAGGGCCGACCAGTTAATTACAGCCATCACATGAAAACAGATTTGAAGATTTGTGTGGCCCTAAACAAGCCCACGCCAAATTGTCTTGTTGCTCGAAAAGTGTGAGTTCTCTATGCTGCGAGCTTTCTATGCTCGCCTGAGAGGTGACATCACTGTGATCATTGCATCAAGTTTGACTGACAAGCTGTTTCAGCCATGTTGGAGCACGTAGTGCCACTGCCCAATACATCCTGGCCCTGCACGCGGATAGTAGGAAGAATTTCCTGCTGTGGGACAGGCTGCAAAGTGGCTGGCTTTGAAGCCGCAAAAAGGACCTGTAATGACTTGTAGCGTTTTGGAGCACACTCTTGGATACCATTGGATTTAGGCGTTGAATTCCTGATGGTGTGTGTTCGACATCCTGGCAAGACTATTTCACTGCCACCTTGCCGGTAACTTCTGAGCTTCCAAGTCAAAGGCCTTGTGAGAGTAGCTTGGAAAATCCTTTGGCTAAGGCTTTTGGACAAGAGTTTGCGGCCAATGTGCATGAGTCAACCACCGTCTCAAGGGCTGTAAGTAAGTAAGCTTCTGCATTGAGGCACAATTCTGGACCTCGACTTGCGCAAAGACGAGGTTTTGTCACCGATGTTTTTCTGCTTCGGCATCCTAATCACCCAGCTTCCATTCAATCTACATGATAGGTTCTCACACCGACCCTCACTTAGTATAAACGCTTGAGGTTTCCTTGGTCGTTTGTGCGATTCAAGGTTAGTCATGCTTTGCCTGTTGCAATTTGAGTGCGTAATGAGCCACATCAGCACTTACGGAGGCCTCTCAGACAACAAGGAAAGATGGTAGGCCCCGTCTTTTTGGCAACACCACCACTGGTCTTTGAAAGCAAAGAACATGCAAAAGAAAGAGTCCTTGAGGTTTTGCCCTCAACCCATGACAGAAGCACTTGGCGTGACAACCCCAGACCATGCAGGTCGGCCGCCTTCCGGATGCATACGAGAAGCTGATCCATGATGCAAGGGCCTCAGGGAGTTGGGCCTCCGCCATGAAGTCCAGTCAAGCTCTCTGATGTTATCAAGCAGCGTATAAATGTTGACGCTTTATTAGACTCTTAAATGCAACAATTGAACATGTGTATATATATATATATATGTGTGTGTGTATATATATATATACTGTATATTTTTGTATATATGTACACTGGTTATTCAGTTTTTGCATATATTCTTAGAGTGGCTTGTCGTTCGTTTCTAATATGTATCTTTTTGATTCTAGTAGGGCCATGGAAAACCCTTGTTAAATCCTTGACCAATCCTTGGCAATCCTGTGGCAGTGGAGGGTCAAGGTGGGTGTGAAAGTATGCCCACCAGGCGCAAGGTGGGGGTGCCAGGGAAAGGGCACCTGCCCCCTGACTATGTCCATGGTCCTCCTATGTTCTACCATGGCATGCCAGTGAACCTTGGCCAGCTAAGCACTGGCTATGCTCCTGCCCGGTCTGCCTATAGCTCCACTGTGAATGAAGCCAGTGATTTGGCTAATTTATTACATTCTGAGCCTGGAATGTTTGTGATGGAAGGCATCCATAGTGTGATTATGAGCCTGGAATGTTTGTGATGGATGGCATCCATAGTGTGATTAGGTTGGAGGGTTGGGTGTACTGACTTAGGTGATGATGATGATGATGATGAGTCTGACAATGACAATGAGGATGCCTCAGGGTCACAAGAGCGCTCTAGGCTGTGAGGGGACTGGGCAAGAGTTTCAATGATGGTGTGTGATTGTGAAAAGCAATGGAGCAATAGTACCAATGACTGAACAAATGTAAAACAACAAACTAACAAGAGGGACAGTATGTTTTTGTTAAACTTCTTTATGACAGGAAAAAGAGAAAGAAGGACAAAAAAGGTAAGAGCAAGAGGAAGAGAAAGGATTCAAAAGAGAAACCATCAGGAAGCAAAAAGAAAAGGAAAAAAAGAAGCAGCAGTTCAGACAGCACTTCCAGCAGCATTGAACTCGCAAATGATGAGCAGCTCAATTCCTTGCCTATCAAGGGGACTCTTTCATGCACCTAGAACTGAACAAGGCTTTGGAGTAGTAAAAGTAAACATTGTTTGGTTGAGCTTCCACCTGGACATCAAACTAAGTAGCTGTGTCAGGGTGGGTTTTGAACTCAATTCAAGCTTGGTTGAGCTTCCACCTGGACAAGAAACTAAGGAGCTGGGTCAGATTGGGCAATGATTGGACTTCCACACAGGGCAAGGATGGGAAACCTGATAAGAAAAATTCAGTTTCCAGAGCTGAGAGAGTCAGAATTTTGAAGAGCATGAATGAAGACAAAATGCAGCCATGTTTCTTTGAAGCACTAATAAGAATGAGATGTCATAGAGCTATGGGGCACTTTGTTTGCTTGGAAATGCCTGAGGCTCCCTGAGCCAACTTTCAGATTGGCAGCTAGATGTGCTGATGTATGTGTGCACAGGGCTGGGTCCTTTGGTCAGGATGAAGGAGCTCAGGGTTGAGAACAGGGGTGCTTTGTTCTTTGGATGCAGGTTGGTCCAGTGGTGAGTCCCTCAAGTTTGCTGCATGCAATGTGAGAAATGTGCAAGTGCTTCTTGGCCTAGGCTAACAGCCCTATCCAGGGAGCATGACAAGCTCAAGAAGTCCAGTGGTGATGCCAGATTGGGTGCAGTGAAGGACACTTGGCAAGAGATAAACTTCTCTTGCGCATTGGGTGATGGCTGGGTTTGTGCTTGTAGTTTGTTTTTGTTTTGTTTTGGCAAGGCCTACACATTAAATGGGTTTGACATGGCTTGACCCAGCCTGGCCCAAGGATGACTTCAGCAACCTTGGGGAAGTTGGCTACATCCTTGGATGGGAGAAGCTCTGGAAAAAGCAGAGCTTTGGATGAGTAAAGTTGAATTTGTGACAAGTGGGTGGGTTCAAATGTGTTTTGTTGTGCTTGGCAGTGTGAGGCAACTGCATGCCAACAAAGGGTGTTTTGAGCATTGCCTGCTGCAACCAGGAAACCTGGCAAGAAGGAGGAAGACCCAGCTATGAAAGCTAACTATAGAAGCTGGAAGAGGCACACTATGGGTGAGTTTGGGTTTGGGTTTGGCAAGGGGCGCATTGAAGAACAAAAGGTGAACTAATCTCTCATCATAGAATATAGATTAGATGGTGCTTGCTTTTTTTGTATAAGTTTACTTCTTTGCTTCCTTTGTCTACTCTTTAGCTTTTTCTGGTTTTCCTTAATTGCCTGGCAGGGCAGATGGTACCATGGTGGTGGCCAACAGGGAGAATTTGGAATACATTGTGGCACCACCTGGGTGTGGGGCCAGCATGGTCTATAGGGATGGAGTGTATCAGTTGAGCATCCCTGCCACTGAGCAGGCTTCAGAGTGCCTAGCATATTGTTAGTGGTTGTTTGCTGAAATTGAAATGCATAAATGCAAGTTCATTCTAGTTGGGATGGGCTTGCCAAAGTCAGTTTGTTGATCTTGGCAGCCCAGGGCCTGTTTCAAGTTGGATCTGATCTTCAAGGGGGCAACAGGAATTCATGACTGGTATGAGATCATTGCAACTTGCCTGCAATGTTACAACTACTGTAATTAATGGTACATGTTACATTGTGGGCTTGCTCAACCACTGTGATGCTGTGTAGAGAGCAACATGTATGTTGTGGGGAGCAATGCACCATGAGGCCAACTATGCTGGCAAACATCCTGATGCTCAATGGGTCAGTGACTACATCAACAGCTTGAAGTGTAACTTGGATGTCTATGGCTGTTTGTCTCTATGGCTATGGTGTATGAGGGCAAATGGAAAGTGTTGGAGAACATGCCATTCATTGCATGAATAAAAAGCAACATGAAATCTTAGTTCTCTGTGTTTTAAAAGGGGCTTACCTAAGGTATGGAGCCCACTCATTGGCAAAGGGCCCAAATGGAGAAGGTTCTGGGAAGTGCCTCATCTGTCATTTGAATGTGTGGAGAGTGTGTGTATGGTTTGCTGGTCAAATGGGCTTCTTTGCACTTTTGCCTAGGATCCATCAGCCAGCCAACAAGAGGTACACTTCAGGAGTTCACTTCAAGGAGTGCAGAGGTGGTCCAGCAAGAGTTGGCCAGAATGAGGGCAAAGGTAGACGCACAGAAAAGAAAAGTGGAAGCCAAGGTTTCAGAAAGCAAAGAAAGCACAGGTCAGCCAATGGTGAGCCTAGACCTAGAGGCAAGGCAAAAGAGGCTAGAGGAGGCCAGGAAAAGAATTGAGGAGCTGAAGCAGAAGCAAGGAGGTGGAACACAAATGAACAAACCCACACTGTCGCTTGAGGAGAAGAAGGCCCACATTGAAGCAGAAAAAAAGAGGTTGGAAGCCTTGAAGGAACAAAGGAAGCTGCAAGAAGAGAATGCCAGGCTTGAGGCTGAGGAGAGAAGGCTGAAAGACCAAGAGGCAATGATTGCAAGACAGAAACAAGAGAAAGAAAAACAAGAGATGGAAAGGCTTGAGGCTGAGGAGAAAAAGCTGAAGCAAGAAGAGGCAAGGCTTGCAAGAGAGGCCAAAGAGAAAGAGCAAGAGAGGCTTGCCAGAGAGAGAAAAGAGAAAGAAG